TTATTGTGCACCTATCTAATGACTCTGAGCTACAATTTCATTAAAATTTAGGACAATATCGGCAGGAGCGACTGAAATACATTATTTTTTATGTTCTAAGGACAAATAGTTGCCAAGGCCATCATAAATTTTATTGGCTGCAAAAGTTTATTAGTTATGAATGTACATTTAATGTTTATTTCCTATAAGTTTCCTTGAAGTATCTCAAGTGGTTCAGTCCATATTTTGTATTATTCTGACTTTAAATAATTTATAGCAAACTTTTTAACAAAGATCTTGTGCAATCTGTTAGCGTTCAGAATATATGGTGGTGTTTAATCTCAGCTAATAACACATCAAATTTTAAGTGAATATCAGTAAAACTGAGGGAGGTTTACAGTGGTGGGATGTTACTGTGTACAAGTACTTTGTTACTGTACTGTACATTTGTCATGTATCAGTACTTTACTTAAGTAGAGTTACACTTGGGTACTTTCTACTTTTACTCCACTACATTCTATATACTCAGGTCCAAGTTTTAAAAATGGTGTCAGGAAGTTAAAATATTGTTCACTATTGACCCATTCCAAGGTTGAATAGATATTATTTTAACTAGAGTTGATGACAAACTGGAGTTGAAATGATCAGAGCCTGTTCCTTTGTTAGTTGTGTCTAATGCTCCTTTTGTTCAGGCAGACAACTTTTACTTAAATGTGTTTACTGCAGTTAAAATGACACATTTGTTTTGCTTTGTGTTAAATAAAAACTTTAAAAGGTATAATCACTCCTCTTTCTTATTTTGATTAATGACATTTAACTCTGCAGGTCATCCCTGAAATTCTGATGCACAGAATCACAAGTCCAAGTGTGAACTGTGTCACAGAGTAAACACAATAAAAACATGTATTATCTGCAACATTGTTCATTAAAATGAAACAACACTATTAATGTATTACAGAAAATATACATATGATAGGCACACTTAATGATATTGTAGACAAATGCATTAGGTAATACATTTAGCAAGTACTTTTACTTTTAATACTTTAAGTATTTTTAAAAGCAAGTGCTTATGTTTACTTAAGGAAAAATGTTAATGTGGTACTTCTACTCTTACTAGAATACATTTTGGTCTGTTTATTTGTAATTTTACTTAAAAAACAGTGTTTGAGTACTTTCTCCACTACTGGAGGTTTATCCAGTTTTGTTAGCTGTGGCAGTCATCTGCAGGAAACAAGAATTTTTAAAGTGCAATTCTTTTGGGTGGTGGTGGTGGTGGGGTGTGGGTGGGGTTGAGTCATTACCATGTTTGCCAGACCATACCATACCATACCAATTTATTTATATAGCACTTAAAACAGCAACAAGGCCAACCAAAGTGCTGTACAAAAGAACCAAACATGCACAGCAGACAGGAAAACATAAAATAGAAATACAGATACAAATAGCAGCAGAAGCTAACTAAAATGGCCAACAGAGTAGAGAACAGACCGGACCAAAACAAATCACACCGTGTTAAAGGCAAGCGAATAGAAGTGGGTCTTCAAGCGAGACTTAAAGACTGAGAGTGTGGGAGCCTGCCGGACACTCAGTGGCAACTCATGGTAGACAAGTGTCAGAAACTAACTATACATTTTTCTCCACCCGCCTCCGCTCTTGATTCAACGTCCTGGTCATGTGGTCATTTCACTTACAACAAAAGCGTTTTTTTCTTTGGTTTTGTATTTTTGTAAAAAAAAATTAAATGAAATTAAAAACAAGACAAAACCATATAAACCATAGGAACAGGTCGCTAAACATTTGGTATGCATCCATACGCAATACAATATGAAAAATGAATCATGCCCACAGAGACATATGCAGCGCTACGATGTAGCCATGGACACATGTAAATGAAAACTGTCGTAGTCATTAAGGCTAACACGAGCATCAAAAGTAAAATAAAATAAGCGGCTGGCTGAATAGGTCATCGTTTCATCAAAGCCTATTCAATGCATGGTGAAACAATGGCATGCATCGTGCACATCTTCTGTTCTGTGCTATTTTTCACAGTGACTGGTATCACCATTTGTAGCCTACATTTTATCAATTTGGTCTAGTTTCCGGACACTGCTAGCTCCCTGTATTGTAGCGAGCACTTGAGCTGTGTATGAATGTATCCTTCAATATATTGAAAGTCAATATTTGGGCGCGGATATGTCGTCTTCAGTAAGATTGACGTGAACAGAAACAGTGGAGGTGGCCATTGCTCATGGTGTCTGGCACAATGTTTGCCTCCAGGACTTTTGGGGTTTCCGGCAGTCCTCGTGACGTTCTCTCGGACCAGCGCCATCAAAGCGATCACACCAGTTGTGTAAGTGAATTTGATTTATGATGACTGTATACGAGTGCAACCTTCCTGAAAACAGGTGGCATTTATTCTTTAAAGAAGTTCGTTCAGTCTTGAATGATAAAATTACAAGATATCTGAACAATTTCTTCCTTTTTTTTAAATTTGTAAAACTATTACCATACTTTAATCTGCATCTTTTTTGGTTGTTGTAAATTTATGAAATCCAATAATGCCTGTTTTTATTTATTTTCGATTGAAAAAATTATATACTTTTATATTTTTAACTTCCCATTTTGGCACCATGATAATTTTAGACCTATTACATTTATTCATTTGGAAAAAAACTGTGAAAACTTTATAACATTTTAGGTATTTATCATAAACAACAGAAAGTTCTTGCAATTATCATTTAGCTGCTGTAACTTTTTGAATCATAATCATAAGTAATTGGGAGAATTAATTGTTTTGCAGCCTGGGATCTAAAAGTGAAACTTGTTTTTCACTGTCAAAGGTGAGGGTGGATTGATAATGTTTTAGGCCTTGTGTGTTTGTTTGTACCAAAATATCTCAGGAATCAATGAACAGATTTTATTGAAACGTTCAAGAATGAATCACTGGGTTGTCTTCTACAAATTATTCACTTTTGGGGTCAACGTTTGACCATCATAGTTGATCAACCTTAAGAAAAACAAAAACTCGGTCAATTTAATTTTCAGTTTGTAGTGTAAAATGTCAAGCGATGATGATTGCAGCAGAATGATGTGTCTTTAAAATCAAGGGTACTAAGGTGAGGTGATAAAGTTTATTTATTTTAGTTTTTTTCAGAATTATTGGATTTGGTACCTGGATGATGGAACATGAACTTTATTAACTACTGGGTACTCCTAAGCATGTTCACAACTCCATAGCAGCTGCAGTGATTCCTTTCTTTGTATGAGTGCTCTGATTTAAAAAAAGAAAAAAAAAAACATTTTAGGCAGATATTTCATAAAAGCATACTTTGCATTTAATAAAATCTCTCAAATACCGATAGAATTACAGTTTCCAGGTGTTTAGTGCTTTTTCTTTGATAAGACTGCACCTCTCCACACACTACAGGAACGCCCATTTATAACTGTAGTCAGCTTAAATAGGCTCTTTGCACCAAAAGTACTTGTTGCATTAAATTTCTTTAGTCATTAGTTGTAAGCGGTTTTCTGTTTAAACCTTTTGGTGTTTTTTTTGTAAAACACTGATAACATGTGATTTGCAGGGCTCAATAAGAGCAGGTGGTGTCCTGGGACAGCAGATCACTTTGTCAGTGCTGGTCAGTGCAGTCCTTCGAATGCTCAACTGTACTCACCCAAAACAAGAAGCTGAAGAAGAAGAGGAAATATCTGATCCACGGGTTGACAAATGAGAACGTCTCAGCACGATCCAGACTCACTTCTCTGTCCATTTTCTGCTTGATTGATTTAAATCTGACACATAAAGCTAGACGGACTTTCACTTGAAAACAGGCCCTGGTCCCAGCCCCACCCTGCACATACTGAGCCACCACGTGAATCTGTAATGAGACGGGTTGTTTGCATGCAGTGAGGGTGTCCAGCTGGCTAAAAAAAAAAAAATAGAGGGGGGGGGTGCTGGGGTGACGTGTAGGTTTATGACGCTCCCCTGCCATGCTGGTCGCCCCCAGAACGGTCTATGCAGGCTGGCAGTTCAGATTACACCAACATGACTCTGAGACTGCAGCTCTCGTGTATTATAAATCTTCTGCTCATATAAATCTCATCTCCCCTCATTGCCCTTTTTGCCTCATTTTTCCTGTTACTTCAAAGGTTTTACATCCTGCATCATGTGCATTGCACATTTGCTTCTACATTAATGCTTATTGTTTTGGAAAGGCTTGTAGTTTTGTGCATAAATTGCATCTTCAAAGACAGACTGGTAAAAATAAAACAGAATGACATTGACCAACGGCTGGACAATGGCATCTTTGACAGAAGGAACATTTGATGCCATTTAATGATATCTTGCATTTTATTTCCAAATTTCTTCTCTGCTGGAGGGTAAATCTGGTGGATTTCAGCCAAGTAATTGTATTAAAAAATAAAATAAAATAAACCAAGCCAGCTATACTGTGATAAGATTTAAACAAAAAACTCTGCTAAATATCAACTGACAACAAATGATCAGCTGTAAGAGTGATGTGGCCGTCTCAGACGTCAGAAATCTGTATATGGATAAACATTCTATAATGCCCCCCACCCCCCCCCCTATTATTTTGCAGCTGAGCACCAGGAAGCACTAAGCTCCCTCAGGTAGTTTGGAAACATGGCAAAAAAAAACAACCCATTAAACTTCAAGAGTTTGATTTGTGATTTTATTTAAGTAAACATTTGTAAGTTTACGTCCCATAGATTTTTACCTGGAAACCAGTTTTACTTCTCATTTGTGCCACAATTTTTTGGGGCTTTTGCATTTTTATTCATATATTTTGCCACTAATCTTGAGATTTCTGTGACAAGAACTGATAAAAGTGGAATGCATGTGCAGTAAAGATAATACAACTGGCTGAATTAGCTTATGAGGTATTTCGGGTCCCATGCATGGGTTTTCTCCAGGTACTCCAATTTCCTCCCACAGGCCAAAAACATGCATGGTAGGCTGACTGGTAACTCTAAAACTCTAAATTGTCTAAAACTCTAATTGTAACTCTAAATTGTCTCTAGGTGTGAGTGAGAGGGTGAATAGTTGTTTGTCTCATTTGTCTCTATGTGGCCGTGTGATTCACTTGCAACCTGTCGAGGGTGTATTCCGCCCCTCGCACAGTAACCGCTGGACATGGGCACCTGCGACCCCCACGACCCAAAAAGGAAGAAGCGGGTAAAGATAATAGATGGATGGATGGAAACCTGCTGGTGGAATAGTGAAGTGCAGGAAGCTATTCAGAAAAAGAGATTAGCCAAGGAGGAAGAGAGCAGACAAGAATATAAGGCGATGCAACATAGAGCAAAGAGGGAGGTAGCTAAGACAAAGCAGAAGGTGTATGATGGTCATGGGAGAGTGGACACTAAAGAGGGTGAGAAGGACTTGTACAGATTGGCGAGACAGATGGATCAGGCTGGAAAGTATGTGCAGCAGGTTAGACTTGTTAAAGATAGGAATTGTAATTTTCTAACAAGTGAGGAGAGTGTGATGGGAAGATGGAAGGAGTACTTTGAAGAGCTAATGAAGAGAATGAAAAGGGGGAAAAAAGGTAATGTGGGAAAGATTAGTGAAGGTGAAGTTCAGAAAGCTTTGAAAAGAATGAATAAGGGAAGGCATTAGGACCTGATGACATACCAGTGGAGGTTTGGAAATGTCTTGGAGAGATGGCAGTGAGGTTTTTGATTCAAATATTCAATGGCATATTTGCGGGTGAGAAAATATCTGATGAATGGAGAAGAATCAATCAACCTTTATTTATACAGGTAAATCCCATTGAGCCTCGAGGACTCATTTACAAGAGAGACCTGAAAGAAGTGTGCTGGTGCCCATTTTTAAGAACAAGGGTGATATACAAAGTTGTAGCAACTACAGGGGAATTCAGTTGATGACCCACATATTGAAGATCTGGGAGAGAGTTGTGGAAGCTAGATTTAGATGAGAGGTGGCTATCTGTGAGCAGCAATATGGTTTCATGCTGAGAAAGAGCACCACATATGCCATCTTTGCTTTGAGGATGCTGATGGAGAAGTACAGATAGGGTCAGAAAGAACTCCATTGTGTCTTTCTGGATTTAGAAAGAGCATATGACAGAATGCTGAGATTTTACTTTACTTTTGTCGACATATAAAAATTGACATTCTAAACCAATAAAACACACATGTTTGGTTTTAAGAAACAAAGTTAGGATGTAGTTTACTACTGCAGGATGGTTTGAAGAGACCTTCCACGTTTGCAGAGTGCTTGTTGGATGACTTCATTAATATTGCAATCCCTGAAAAATGATGGGGTTTTCCAGGAAGCGATAATCCAGTTGCTGTTCTGGGACTCCTGTTATCTGAGGCTCAAAACTACAATAACTCCTACCCTGTAGCAAAAGTAAGTCCTGATCCTTCTTACCTCGAGCGGTCCTTGGAGTCTACACAGCTGAATCAACTTTTAATGTTTTTAGAAGATAAAGAGGTTGGATTTTTTTTTTAGAGGGGAGTGGTGGCACAGTGGTTAAAGAAGGCGAGTCTGTGATTGGAAGTTCACCGGTTTGACTACCCAGACCCAACAACATTGAAATGTGAGTGAGAAAGGTGAAGTACCCACACCTGCCTCCTTCCTCGTTTGCACCACTCTGAGCACCTTGAGCAAGGCCCTTAACCCTTAAGATGGCAACATGGCAGCCCTCTGCTCCACACAGAGGGCTGTGATTGCTTCAGAAATGGCATCCGGCATAAAAACAACTGGCAAGTCTTCAAGCGAGTTAGTTTGCTGTGGCGACCCCTGAGGAGCAGCAGAAAAAAAAAATAAAACAAGTTGGGTTTTACTATTTGGAGCCACATTAGATCATTTGAATTATTTTCAGATTTTAACTGCATAACATTATACTTAATTAATTTAAGCATTTTTTTCCTGCAAAATTTAGACTTTTTAGCAGCTTTGTTATGTTTACATTTATACAGACCAAAGATTTTATGTAGAAGGTGTTAAAAAAATAGTTTTAAGCTTTTGCAAGCTTACAGAATCGTCATTCATAATGTGTGTGTGTGTGTGGTCAAGTAAAAAATGGCTGCTGCAGAGAAGTTTAAAAGATGCACAACTGACTGCAAACAGTTGCAGAAACAAACCTGAAAACCACCTCTAATGCAGCCCAACCAGCTTACAAACAGTTTCATCAAAAAGAAAGGCTTCAGAACTCAGGTTGATGAAATGAGCTTTCCTGCTACATCTAGTGCAGAGAGTGAAGTGAAACGTTACAATAACCAGAGAGGGGGAACTCGCGGTTGATTACTTTCACTTTATTTCAGTACATGTTATTCATACAAAATAATCTGTACAAAGGCTAAAATAGGTCATAGTTTTTGCATAGAAACAACAGTGACGTAGAAGAAAAAGCATATTGTCAGGGTTGAATGGCATAATAAAGTCCATTCACTGTCACACACAGGTCTGATGAGATTTAAGCTAAAAAAAGGGGGGGGTGTTAAACTCTATACAAAAATACGCTGATGCTCGTTCCATTATCTTAAAGCATGGGACTAATGGCCGATCATTTGCACTTTTATCTTCTCTTCAAAAATGAATGAAAGAAAAAGCCTTAGCTCAAACTGCCAGCTGCCATTATTTCATCTTTAGGATAACTATCTAATTTTCAAAAGGAGGCCAGTTTAAGGCAGGGACGCCACTGACTTTCATCAAACACATGAAATCTGCACTTCTTTTTGCTCTTCGTGCCAAGTTGTCGAGCCCCCACCACTCAACACAATCAGAACCAGTGTTTAAATGTGGCCTATATAATTGACAGCAACATAAAAGGAGAATAAATCAGAAGCAACGAGTCATTAAACATGAAAGGCAATGGCTGTGAGGTGTCGTGGGATTTAGTGACACATTTTCCTTTATTTAAAAATAGTTGATTTCGATACTAAAGAGAAGGTTGTCCACCACCTAGCAGAGGGGAGAAGTGTTGCAGAAGCTCACAAGACGAGGTTGGCAGGTGTCAGATAACGCCACTGAGCAGAACACAACATCAAACGCAGCGCACATTTCCACCGCTCACATACTCCACTTTAGCTTGGGAGAAGGATTATGAGAAGATTACAGAAATAATATGCTGACGGTGGTAAAAATAAAACGATTAACATAAAAAGATGACGCGCTACGTTCAAAGTTCCTCACGGCAGACAAAACCATGCGTTCAGTCTTCACCATCTGACTGAGAGAGCCTCCACGAACCACAAAGAGACCTTTTATACTCCTCGAGAGAAAATGATACATGAAAAAATATATATTTTACTACAAGATCAAAATCCAGTCAAATAAAGTATGAAAGCATACTGATAAAACACACATTTACATAAAATGTACACGACTAGTGGAGCTGAAAGGGGAAAACAGAGGCAGAAAAAACAGCATACATGAAAAAAAATCACAACATACATGAAGATGATATGTCTTAAATGAGCACATGGCTTGCTAGAAAATTCAACTGTCAGTGTACACATATGGTCATTACGGTAACACTGAGCATATTTACACATGATGCTAACTCCTGGGACTAATACACGGAGCTCTGTTGCACAGAGTCTCACAGATCCTGACCTAGAAATGCATAATGGGCCTGACATCAGCAGCTTGAAAAGACGTACCGCAGATTATAAGCACACACCCTAATTTAATTAAACTAGAATCACAAGAAGAATGCGGTACGTCTTTAGTGGACTTCACCCAATTTCATATGCTAAATTTTACCTCCATTAATTCTAACTTAATTGCTGTGTGTGTTGTTGTTTGCAGTATTAAGACAGAAAGGCATTTTTGCACCTTGGAGAGAGGCTCTGCCAAGTCTAATCCTCTGGAGAGAGATGAATTAACTGTGTCATGTTGTAACAATGAGCAACGGTGAGCATCTGTCACAAGTGGAAACAACAAGCCAGCAAAATTGCCCTCTATAACAAAAAAACCCCAAACATTTAAATAGCAACAACAACAACAAAAAAAGTTCTATGACTTAACAGCTTTTGTAAAAATGGCATTCATCCGTGTGATCTAAAAACACAGAAAAACACTTGCACTGACAAAACCACGAATGGCAGCAGGGTTTAACGGGAGTTCACACAGAATGTCGGTACAGTCAGATCAGGCTGGGGCAAAGAGTTAAGAGCGTCTGCAGACTGCGCCTCTCAAGTTTGATGTCAGGTTCCATGACAGTCCCCTGGATTTGCTTTTATTTCCACCTTTCTCATGTTTTCTGTGTCGTCAGTTTTAAGACGTTTCCAGGTAATGTGAGACAAAGCATCGCGGTGAATTATTTATCGAGACCTTCTCCCCCTGAAACTTTCCATCTGGGATAGAGTGCAGCCAGATTTACATAACAGTTACAGTGATTCCTCCATACCCCCACAGGTGCTTTGAGCTGTGCAAAGAGCTGTTTCTCTGCAGCGTCGGGGCTGCCAGCGTCTGCATGCGGTGCCAGGTGTCTGCAGAGCGAGGCAGTAAATAAAGGGATGCGTGGAGAGTTTGTGGAGGCAGCCAAGCAGAGGGGATGCGACCGCTCATGCCTGTGCTGTACATCAGCAGCTGTCATGTTACCCCCGTGGACACAGCAAGAGGAGTCGGAGCATATGAAGGGAGACAGTATATCGCAGCCAGCAGGGTCACTGCACATAATGGTCCGAGTCTGCTGCTTTTTCTTGCACACCTTCCTTTATTCTATTGAATTTGTTGCCAAAATAAAATTTATAAAGCTAAAAACGACCTCCAAAAAGTTATCAGAGACGTGAAAAGCTGGAGTTTCTAAGAACTTTTTCTAATAAATGTATGTGTTTTTTTGTCCATGTCTGAGAAAACAATAATGTTAAAAATGTCATCCATGGCAAAAGATTCATCTTTGCAACAAGACTAAATTGAAGATTGTAGCCACTTCGAGCATTAAGGGGCTTTAAGCAGCCGCTGTTTTGGCAGTACAGGCTGGACATATGCAAACTAGCTGCTTCTGGAAAACAAAGACTCAAGTAGTAAGCTGGTGTTCATTTTTTTCATTTAGCTGCAACTGTTTCCTGCTTTATGTTTGGATTTGTCTTTTATAATTGTTGCTGAGTTAAATGGAAGGCGAGTGCCACCAGTCTGGCAGCATGTGCTAACTCAGCCTCATTCGGGCTAACGTGCGCTGTACGCACATTAGAAACGGACGGTTTTCAAGTCAAACAAAGCCACAAACCAGAATAGGAAACACAATGCACAGTCACAATGAACAGTCGGAGCTGTGGCAGCAGAAAACCAAAGGGAAAATGCTGCAAAGGTGGGCAAAGCAGAAAACAAGAAGGTATGAGTCCATGGAATTACACGAAACACGTGCTTTTATTTTATTCTTAGTGCACGAATCCGATCCTTTGCATTTAATATGCACCTAAATCTGCTCCAGTTTCAAACTCTGACCACTTAATCAAACTGTCATGCTAATTCAACACTGACCTATTTCACTTTGTGTGGATGTGCAGACGCACCTTAAAGTCGAATCACTTCTTACAAACTGTGATCATGGAAATAAAACAGTTAATCTGAAAAAAACCTATAAACTTGCTTGAAATTTTTTTTTTTTTTTTTTTGTCTCCATTCTCTGATGTTTATTTTAGAAGTCAAAACTAATTTACTTTGGAGATGTCACAAAAAAAGTGAATAACATAAGTCATGTTCCCACAGTTAAAAGGATTCCCCAACAATAAAGCTAGCTCTTTATACCTCTAAACGTTCAGAGAGTTTATGGAGACAAACTCGAGGGCAGTAATCTTCAAGTCACCAAGAGATGAAGAGTATTTTCAGTCCACGGGAGGTAGGCTGCTGCTCAGCCGTCCTGTGGTGCATCAGCACGTAAACAGACATAAACAGACGTGTCCTACAGGGCATGTTGCCATACCTATCTGCCTCAGCTTTGATCTGCCTACACTCCAGCCTCCCCCTCTCCTCGCTGCTGCATGAAAAGCAAGCTTACATGAAATCTGAGGAGTTGCGAAGCAGAGGTGCAACCGAGTAATAAGCAATGAATGTCAAACGCATCGCTTTCTGACAAGTGGGAAGAGAATTGGGGTGCAAAAAAAAAAAAAAAAGGAATGGAGGTATGGCTTAGTTTGCAGCCAAAGAAAGAAATCAGAAGAAGAACGGAGCGAATGGATGACACCTTAAAGAGAAAGGCCTCTAGCCTCCTCTTGCCAACAGTATTGATGGCTGCAGCGAGACAAGATGTCTGTTGTTTTGGCCCTCTTAGCCTTTCCTCTCAGCCTATGTGCTGTTTTTTCCTCCCCTCTCTGCAGCTTGGACTGTGCGATCCAACAAAGACAGAGCTGAACACACAAACGCAATCTAGTCTCAAAGTAACAACTTAATCACCCAGATCACTGCGGTTGACAGGACTCGCGGAGCGCTAACAAACAACCATTTAACATCATATGTGTCGTCTCACGGGGACTTGGAATACCGATGCTGTGCAGCGTTGCAAAACTGTGCACGTGTGCGCGTTCACAAACAGGTTTGTGCATTACAGTTCATTATTCAGTGGACACTGCAGAATTTGAGAAAAACAATAAATAAATCCTCTAGCAATTACGCTTGATTGTATAATGTTCCTCCCAATGTGTTTACCTAAATGTGTGTCAAAAAATGAAAAGAAGTCATGGAATACATTAAAAATAAACTCTAACATGTCTGTCCACCTCCACAGCAACGTCATGTCTAATCCATCCCCACGCACAAACACACTCACAGGCTGATCTGTTCGACACGTGCATTCCACGGGAGCGTCCACGATACACAAACAAACGAAATCGGAGAAGTTTACAACGAAAACGGCAACATTTTCAAGGTCAAGAGTAAGTCAGTGAAGTAGAAAACTAGCATGCCGTATTGGATCTTTATTCATTTACAAGCAAAAAAAAAAAAAAAAAGTGGGTTTGCTTTGAATTAAAATGAGAGCGACATAAATAATAATAACTCCATGAGTGGTGGTCTTATTATCAGTTTCGTGGGTTTTCTTTGCCTTGGAGATGCTGTATGGGCATTAGTAAAGTTTCATGTCCTCAAAATCCATCCTTCCTTTCAGAAAATTGTTAGTCCATTTAAAAAAAAAGAAAGCATATTTCAATAATACCCAGCGAGTTTCTCTTGCTTGCCAAAAATAGGTGTCCCTTCTACTCCAGTTGTGTCACTCTTTGGCAAAATGAATGATAAGAAGAAAGAGCAAAAAAAAAAGGTACAGGAACACAGCTGGAATCTGTACAGTTCTAGGATGGGGGGAGTGGGGTGGGGGCAAGGGATGCTCTACAGATGCTGTAAAGTGAGCGGGAAGCATGAAAGTTTGATTTTTTTTGTAAAACTAGAGTCTCATCCCATCAGGCAGTGGGGCTCCACTACATCAGGTGCCTCCGCCCTGAGGCTAAGCGTCGTACTTCTTCCCCGTTCTGTGGATGTGGTGGAACAGCGTCATGGAGAAGGCCATTCCCAGGAGCTGAAGAAGAAAGCAAAGGGAGACCGTGAATTTCTGACTGTATGGATAGTGAAAGCATTTCTTCGCATTAAAGTTTGCGACTGTTTATGCGCCTGTGTGTGGTCTGTTTGATAGTGACTTCGCTCGTTGGGTTGCGTTTTCGACGCACAATAAATCCTGCAGTGAAGCACAAACACTTTTCGGTTCATTCCCTTCCTCTGATGGCCTTCAAACAAACACGAGCTCTGGAATCTGCTTGATGAAATAAAATTGTAGTGCACACAAGCATCAAGTCAATGAAGTAAATTGAGTAGCCACTGAATCAAAGTAGCCTGCTATCACTTTGAAGTTTCCATTATCCCTCATACTCCTACATCAAACACATTCACAAGGCTGATCCTAAAACCATTATGTTGGAAAGTTTGGATGGCAGAGAAAGTACCATCAAATGCAGGGCTTTATTTATTTATTTTATTTAAAAAAGCCGACTCCACTGGGGTTTTCTACAATATGTGACCAACTTGGGAAAGTTGCTGATTCTTCTTAAGTGTCAGTCAAAAACCAATTTAAAACTGTCTGAAAGCAAAATGCAAATGTAAAATGTTGTCAACAGCGGCGATTTTAGTCTCTTTTTGAGGTGCTCATGCGCCCCTAAATTTTAACTCGGCACCCCTGAAAAATAATGTTAAAAAAAAAAAAAAACATTTGGGGGGCGGTTTGGGGTTCTGTTTATTGCATTTATGATTCAATGCAACAGAATAAACAAATTTCAAAGGTAACAGATTATTGTAATACTTGGTTTATTTACATAAAGCCTTTAATCGTTGGATGTCCGCCCCCTGAGCTGCTGGCTTCAGTAACTGTGACCCCCCCTGAGCAGTTTAGTTGAATAGTCCTGCTTTAGAGGGTGGAATACAGTTGATTCCATTTCCAAAACCTAAACTGTCTGGAAAAATGTAAAAGATGATAAAGCCCTATGGTTGACTTCATGAGCAGCTGAATACAACAGTGATAAACAGGAAGTACAACATGTTCATCTGTATGAAGGCAACTGCAAGTAAATCCTCCATTTTTATAATTACATTGCATCTTTAATGGTTAAATTAAAGGTTAATGCTTAAAGCTAGTTGTGCTTTGTTTTGTGGCTTGTATGTATGTTGCAACTTCTGGTTGCATAAGTTTAGTCTTTGTTATGATCAGTAGGCACTAAACTAATTTTGTGCACAGTGTTTATTAGGTTGCGTAATGTAAAGTAGCATCTTAGCTAGTGCATCTGTATTCCACGCTGCTAGCTTAGCGCTACTTCTCATTGTGCCGAGCTCTCTACAATAGTTATTGAATCGTTTACTTATGTAGGTAAACATAGATGTTTAACAACCTGTTAAAGAGAATGCAGGAAATGGCATCTACTTTATTCAAAATTTTCTGGGCGAGAACCCCAAGAACCACCCCACCATTGTGTCCCCCCCACATTATGAATGCGTCTGACAACTATGCCACCACATTGTTCAAGCCAAGAGCTATTGTCAGCACTGGGGGCTAAGCACCCCTGAAGGTCAGATTCTAGAATCGCCCCTGGCTGTCAATAAAAACAGAGGGGCTCACATCAGGTAAACAAACATCTCAGTTGGAGTTTGGACCAATGACAAACTGCCTTGGAGCCAATCAAATCATTTACACGTGGCTTTTCTGGAAACTTCTGTCCGCTCCATCCAGACTGCTGCATGACAGCTACTGCAAGACTCATAGGAGCCCTAATCATCCATCCATCCATCATTCCCCAGGAAAAATCAATTGCCAAGAATTTTAAAAGAGTTTTGATTGAAGACATACATAGAGGTTTCAGTCAAAGTAAGTGGATCTAGTCTGAATCATGTACAAATTATGTCCAAATGCCTCTGGCTTTTTTTTTTTTTAAATAAACACTGCATGTAGCACCACTTTTATATGAATATGTGATGTGGTCCCCCTTGCTTTTGAACTAGCAAATCAGACTGTGTGTTTATGCGCAAAGAGAAGGCGAGACAATTAAAAGTAATGTCAGGATTCAACCTTCAAGACGGATCCTTTTTATGTAGCGTTTTTCACTTTTATTCTGTGTGCTCTGAGAGGAAATGGAAGAACTGGGAAGTGATGATGCACAGACTGAACATTGAATTTCATAAACTACCTGTAAGCATGGGATAATAGTGTGGTCAAATTTCAATGCAGATATTCTTTTAGTGCAGCCACAAGCTTTAATATATAAAAAAGTACCATAGTGATAGAGGCATAAAAGACTAGGCTGGTGATAAATTCACTTTGCTGCAGTCAGTCTCACAAATGTCCCTTCATAACCGCTCTGATGCACTGCAAACAAATGTCAATTCCTTCTGTCTGGAAACTGGATTGCTTTATGTCTTTCCCTGTCTAAGATGTGGCTCAAGAAGAAGGACATCATCCCTGGACAATTGAGTTTAAATAAGAAAAAAATCAAATAACAAAGCTTTCCGTCTCAGCTTTTTGTTTTCAAGTTTAATTTAATGTCATATCTGTTGTCCTTAATAACTGCTCCGTTCTGTTGCCTCAGTGAGGTTTTCTTTGCTGCAGCTTTATGTGCTTTAATTATTCAATGTATGCACACTCAAGGGCAGAAAGGTCCAATAACAGAGTCACTTACTCAAATATAACTTTCAACAGATGGAAATTATAAATATGTTTTGCTTTAAGTGGTCTAGAAGGATCTGACGGAGAACATTTGTTGCCAAGGAAACACTGCATCCGTCTAATACTGAACTCTTGTTAGTTTCTCTGTGGCCATTTTATTTCCCGAGACAGTTTCCACAGATATTTGTTGCACATCTGTATCTACTACCTGAAGGTGAGAGCAGCACACACACAAGCTACAGCACATCTCACTGGAAGCACCTAACTTTATGGGTGGCATCAATCAAACCAGTTAAAGAGGCTCACAAATCTCTGCCGAGCTCCTCGTAGTGATGGCTCTGATTCGCAAAGCTGTCATGAAGAGAGAACAATCTACGCATTGTTCGTAAAGTTGTTTTTTTTTCTTTAATATGACATGGATTGTTACAGTTGCACAGAAGTGGAATGTACTCTCCCATGAGAAGATTAAGTCGTAGCAATCAGCTGATCTCTGGGTCTCCTGGTCTGTTGCAGCAGCTATGTCTTAACCAGGAAATGATGGTTTCAGAGAAGTTTACACATGACAAACTTAAATTCACACACGATGTAGACCACACCCAGTTAGGAAGTGCGTGAAGTCGTATTGTTGCATATGAACGAAAAGAAACATCTCATTTTGAAGAGCGTGAGAGCAGTTTAGGGAAAAGAAAGTGAAACTTCAGATGATTTTGGTGGTAAACTTCAGAAAAGGCTGTGCAGAACAATTAGCTGACTTATAACCCTGTGTCTTCATGGGGATCCTTCAAACTCCAGAGGGTTCCACATGTGGAGAGCTGAAGATGAAAGCATCCTGATTATCATGATTACAGGCCTTGGGTACTTTATTCTTTTGCTCTAAAAGCATTTGAGAAGCTTAAAGAGGATTTTGGTTGAATTTGAGATAAAACAGCACGGGCTTAAAAACAGGAAGGGTGCACAGGCCAAACAATCCTGGAACGTCAATGCCAAGAATTAGACCGACGACTTTATTTGGTTTCTGCTCAGTACTTTACCTGGATGAAACTTAAAATTTTATCTGAAAAACATTTTTTTTTAATTATAATTTAGTCAGGCTTCTTATTTCAGGTAATTCTTGTTTAATTTTTTTAAACATATCATATAGAAATGTGTCATTATGAGTCCAATCTTTTAAGGACTGCAAATTATTCCATTATCAAGTGTCAGGTCTCAACAGAGAAATAAACATTTCCTTTATGTACACAACAAATATATGTCTGAAAACATAGCCAAAACATACAGAAATTATTTAAGTACGTTTTGTGGACTTTTGCAATATTTTAAATATCATTAATATTATTTTTTCACATTTGTGGATACTAAATCATATAAAACAATAACCGAGGTGTTTTGACAGAGAGCTGCAGATGGAATGAGTGTTTCTCCGGGTTCTTTCTGAGTGGAATTTGCTTGTTCTCCCTGAGCCTGCATGAAGTTTCTCCAGTCCTTTCAGCCTTCTCTCACTGACCAAATACATGCACGTTACTTCCATTTACAAGCTTAAATTGACCATAGGTGTGCTTTTTATTTCAAATTACTACATTTTTAAACCAGAACACAAATGTACATTTTTCTTCTTTCGCAGCAGAAAGAACAAAATACAGTGCTTGTACCCCACTACAGTAACAAAGCATGGGCACCTACTTCCTGGTGAGGCCATTTTAATCTGAATGAACCACAGAGGCTAGGATTAGCAGAGTAAAAACTTGACTTGCCAGAGGATATAAAGAAAGACATCAGATCAAATAAAAAGGAAACATGGCTGCAAGGAATAATACATAGTGAGCAGTAATACGAGAGATAAGTACACAAATATAAATGTGCACGTAGAAAGTATATTTATGCCAAAGATCTGAGGATGTATTTATGTTGACAACAGCCCAGGGGTTGAAGAAGTGAAAAGAATTAGAAAGTGAGGTAGGGTCAGAAATGTTAGGTAGGTCAGTGGTAACGATTATTTGGACTCCTAAAAAGGGGCTGCACATGTGATTAGTGTTGTGAAAGCTGGCCCAGGAATAGAACTCACATTGACAGAGTTGTGATTTTAAGTTAAATGAGTGTGAAAACGTTCACTTAAGGAGGTGCATATTGGGGAAAGAACTATAGATGAGCTCTCAGTGGTGAATGTACAGACAGACAACCTTTTATGAACTCATTCATGCCCAGATCTACCTCAGCAACAAAGCAATTTGGCTGTCAATCAAATTCTGTTTACCAGGAGACTGAATGTTGGCAACGATGAGAAAAAACTCTTAATTTGAAAAGGAAACAATCAAAACAATATGCAGCCCAGTCAACATTCTAATTAACCACAAATAATACTGAGTAAAAATGGCAAG